ATGAAAACCATCCTAACCATGAAGAAAAAGTTTATTTCCCATGAAGATCTTATATCAACCAATAAATAAAAATATATTCATAGTATACACCTTTATGGAACTTCTCCCTAATACTTGCATGGCCTGGGGGCAAGAGTACAAATGGAGACTCACACACCAATAGAGAAAATACTTGAAAGTTATAAATCGCAATAATAAACTTTCAAATAAAATATGCTCTCCTAACAACACAAAAAAAAATTAAATGTATAAAATTATGTTTGTAATATGGTCAGAAAGTCAGCTAAGTATCAAGGACAATTGAATTGAATTACTACTCGCATGTCTGGGTGTTCTCCTGATGAGCAACAAAACAAAAGCATACGCAACTAATTAATCACACTCCGTGAAATTTATTTTTCTGGCTTTTAGTCTGATGCTCAGCAGCACCCAGGGAGGTTAGGGGAGGCCTAATACCGGGGTTCAGGTTCTTGTTGCTGCACAAGAAAGGGTTCGAGAACAATCGGAAAGGTTGAGTAAAGCACAGTAAATTTAGTAAAGCAAGCGTATGCACTCAAGAAGTGAGAACGGGCCGAAACCGGTTTGGCTCAGTGGATAGAGCATCGGCCTTCGAACTGAAAGGTCCCAGGTTCAATTCTGATCAAGGGCATGCATCTTGGTTGCGGGCACATCCCCAGTGGGGGGTGTGCTTGAGGCAGCTGATCAATGTTTCTCTCTTATTGATGTTTCTAATTCTCTATCCCTCTCTTCCTCTCTGTAAAAAAAATCAATAAAATTAAAAAGTGAACATGGGCAACCTAGGAGAATGAGAACCCTCTCAGGGATATGGATCAAAGGTTTTTATTAAATGTAGGCAAGTGGGGAAGAGGTTAAAGTGGTCCCCAGCTTTTGATGTGCATCCTTTCCCCTCCTTTCCAGATGGCAGATACTTTTTTGGTCCTCCCAGAACTGTCATGGCCTTTGTGGGTGGGGAGTGTAGGCCTGGAGATGCCGCTCATGTCTCCTCTTGACCCCCTGAGCTTCTGCCATTCTGTAAGAAGAGCCTGCCTCAGTGCTTGCTCATCCCAGGAAGACGGTGAGAACCACATTTGAGCAAAGCCTTCTCTGCCAACCCAGCCAAGATGCAGGTGTAGAACACAAGCAAGTGCTTATTGCTCTGTGTCACTGAGAGTTTGCAATTCTTTGCTACACTGCCATTCACAGGCAATGAAAAGTACTTTTTAAAAAGAATAAATTACATAGTATCATGTATGTATGCACAAACACCGTATTTTTTTCTGTATTTTTTGTTGATTTTTGTTTGCTTGCTTCCTACGTCTCTCCCATTCTCCTCACTATTCCCTCTCCTTCAAGACTCATGTAACCAATGTTACTAATCTAGATTGTATCTTTCTGTACATTTCTCCATTTGCATATCATGACACTCAGCTATATAAACATATACACTGAGTGGCCAGATTATGATGAGCTCTGAACTCCTAATAATCTGGCCATTCAGTGTATATCCTATATGGTCCTATATAATAAAAGGCCAATATGCAAATTGTCCCCTTGGCCAGGAGTTCAACCAGCAGGCTGGCCAGGCTGGCCCAACCCCACCCATGCAAGAATTCATGCACTGGGCCTCTAAAATATATATACTGAGTGGCCAGGTTATTATGCGTTATGAGATCATAATAATCTGGCCCCTCAGTGTATACAAAAGGTGATCATCACTGTTTGTTTTACACAAGTGGGATAATATTACAGCTATGAGATGACATAAAAGACAAGTGAGGAGATAGAGAGAGAGGAATGCAATCCTCCCTCTGGGTGAGGAAAGAAAAGGCTTCCCTGAGGACCTAGTATTTAAGCTGAGCCATAAGAATGGTATTATGGGCCGAGCTGTTTCCCACCACAAAATGTATATGTTGGAAGTCTTAACCCTCCATACCTTAGGCTGTAACTATAGTTGGAGACAGAATCTTTATTAAAAAGACTAGGGGCCCAGTCCTTCAGCCCAACCTGTCACCTCTCACATACTGGGAGCCCTCAGGGGATGTCCTACTGATGGCTTAGGCCTGCTCCCCATGGAGCAGTCTGGCCTCCCTTTGTAGGAGTCAACCTGCTGATCAGGGGAAGGCCCCATCCCTATCACCCTACTGCTGCAGCCACTGCCAGTCACCACAGCCACCAAGGTGTTTTCATCAGCACGAACTCCAGTCCCTTCACCAAGAAAAAATGACAACTTTCTTTAGGCATTTTTAAGATGTGTCTTTCATAGGATATGCATTTCTTTCTTTATTATTATTATTTTTTTGCCCTCACCTGAGGATATGTTTCCATTGACTTTTAGAGAGTGTGAAAAAGAAAGGGAAAGACAAAGAGCAACATCAAAGTGAGAGGAACACTTTGATTGGTTGCCTCCTGCATGAGCCCTGATCTGGACCCCAGCCAGGGAGGAGCCTGCAACTTAGATACATACCCTTGATCAGAATTGAACCCAGAACCTGCAGTTGGCAGGCCAAGGCATTATCCACTGAGTCAAACCGGCTAGGGCAGGATATGACATTTCTTATCCAGCAGTGGACCTTCGTCTTTTTCTCCAGAAGGGAAGTGGAAAAACCCTAGATCACCTTTGTGGATTCTTTAGATTACCCAAGTTACTAAGAATATTACCAGTGGCATACAGGAAGCTTAGCCAATGTGTAGTCAAAAAAGGTGTTTCCTCTGTAGTTCACACCAATTGCAGGCTGGGCCCTGCCCAGGCCTAAAGCCTCTGGCCAAAGCTTTAGGCCTGGGCAGGAACCCCCCATCTCCCTCTAATCGCCGACTCCGCCCCTGCCCAGGCCTGCCCAAACCGAAAGCCTCTTGGGCAGGAGCAGAGCCCCAGCTCCCTGCAATCCATCACAGGGGGTCTGCTCCTGCCCAGGTCTTACCTCACAATGACCTGGATGCCAGGATGTTCCTGGGTGGCACAGGTGCTGGGTGCCTATGTATGCAAATTAACCGCCATCTTGTTTGGGTTAATTTGCATAGTCACTCTGATTGGCTATGGGCATAGCAAAAGTACGGTCAATTTGCATGTTTGTCTGTTATTAGGTAAGATAATTAGTTAAAATGAGGTCATTGGGATGGCCCCTTCTCCACTCTAACTGGCATCCTTACATGAGGAGGCAGTTTGGACACAAACACACGGAAGAACAATGGTGGGAAGACAGGGAGAAAGTGGCCAACTACAAGCCAAGGAAAGAGGCTTAGAAGAAATCAACCCTGTCTGCATCTGATCTCAGGTTTGTAACCTGCAGAACTATGAGAAAATAAATTTTGATTGTTAAGCCAGACAGTCTGTGGCACTTTGCTATGCAGCCCTAGCAAAATACGATGGTTGGATAGAAATCAATCACCGCAGAGACAGAGGGAAAAGAGTCTGCATACATTGCTGGTGGGAATCATTTGTTTTAAAACCCTTTTTGAAGAGCAATTTAGCATAGTTATTAAAAATTTGTTTCCAGTCCGGATGATGTGGCTCAGTGGTTGAACATCAACCTATGAACCAGGAAGTCATGGTTTGATTTCCAGTTAGGGCACATGTGCCTAGGTTGTGGGCTCTATCCCCAGTGGGGCATGCAGGAGGCACACAATCAATGATTCTTTCTCATCTTTGATGTTTCTCTCTCTCCTCCTTTCCTCTCTAAAATTAATAAAAACATATTTAAAAAATTATTTCCAGTTCTTTTGTCACTATAATAATGCAATTAAACACACACACATACACACACACGCACACACTCACACACACACACACACATTTATCCTCACTTACTAAATAGGGCTTTTATTTCCATAGACAAATTTCCAAGAGTGAAGTTGCGGGAGCCAGATTGTAAAAATATGTTTTTCTCGTGGGTTCCCCAGAGTCCTATTGTTCCTGTGATTACACTATAAAATTGCTGCTTTCAAAATATTTCATTTCTGAGAACTCAAGTAGTATATTAAGTATGAAAATCAGTTTAGAAAAAAAATCACTGTCAACAAAATAAAAGGTAGCAAAATTCCGTAACAGTGCAGACTGTATTCATTTTCTATTGCTGCCTAACGGATTGCCACCAACGTAATGGCTTAAAGCAGCACACATTTATCATTTCACCCTTTCCGTGGGTCAGCATCCAGGAATGGCTTCGCTGGGTCCTCTGCAAGACGGCAATCAGGGGTTACCTGGGCTGTGTTCTCATCTGGAAGTTCACTTGTTGGGGGGTTATCTACTTCTAAGCTCATTTGAGGGTGTCAGCAGCATTCAGTTCTTTGTGGTTGTAAGACTGAAGGCCCGGGCTTCTCACTGGCTGGAGGCTGGAGGTCACCTACAGTTCCTTGCTGTGTAGATTTCCTCGATGTGGCTATTTACTTCATCAAGCCAGCAAGGAGAGCCTGGAAGGTGAGCATGCTAGCAAGACTAAGTTACATAACATAGTCAGAGGAGTGGCATCCCATTCAGCCATTACAAGCAAATCACCTGTCCCGTGTATACTCAAGGCGAGGGGATTGTGCGAAGGTGTGATAGAGATCATGGAAGTCACCTTACAATCTGTTTGCCATACAAATGTAAAACCTTCCTTGCCTCTGAGTGAAGACATATACTTCTCCTTCCTTAATACTCTACGAATCAGATTAACCAGTGTGTCTGAGGTCCCAAAACAAACCAGTAAAGATACCTGGTATTTGTTGGTCCCTTCTTAGACTTTCTATGGCTTGTTGTTGCTTTCATTGGTTTTGGCAAGCTCATTAGTCAACAGAGCCAAAGATCAACAGTACGACGACTGATATTTCTTTGGAGAGCCAAATTTTTTAAACTTAAACTTCTTCTAACGCCACTTCTTCAAAATAGTCTTGCCCACGCCGTGGTATTTTGTGGAAGAGCCTACCTCAAGGGGCCAAAGAGCCACATGTGGCTCGTGAGCCGCAGTTTGCCGACCACAGAGTTGAGACAGATTTGGAGGTGAGTTCCCAGTGAGAGCTGAGACAATGAGAGAGTTATATGGACTAGCAGTCCCTGAAGATGCAGGGAAATGATGTGTGGAGAGGTGGGAAGTAAAGTTTAAGGTCGAGTCAAGGACGAGAGTTCAGCGTTGATGGATGAAGACAGGGACGAGCGGCGAGGTGTATTTGACCTTGACAGTCTCCTGGAGGATAACAGGCATCTGGCTCACCCTTGGGAGTGGCATCTGCAGGCCACTCTATAGCAGCCTAGACTTTGGGCTCACAGTGTGAGCTCCTGTCACTTCCACCAACACCTGTGACTGTTTACTTACTCACTTTATGTTCATCTCAATGGCCTTAGTCTGCCCTCTTCAGAAAAAATAGATTTTGGACATATAACCCACAGCTTATTGTATTCTAGACTGTTTGTCTCTAAAAATTAGTCATGCATTCCTCATGGTGCTTAAATGCCCATATAAGTAGAGTTTCTCTGCAGGATAATTGGCAAAGAGGTCACTAAAGGTGGTAGACTATAGATAATTTGTGTCTAAATGTGGTAGGGATCCTCTACAGAATTTCCTTTGCTGTTTGAAATGTAAATTTATTCTGTCTAAAAAGACAAATTCAATTTTCAGTACAAAAATAGAATTGTTTTCTAGGTAAAATTTACCTTCTTTCTGATGCTCCCTACTGTGATAACCTTTTAACCTGAGAAATATATCAAAACCTGGAAGCAGCCGAAACCGGTTTGGCTCAATGGATAGAGCATAGGCTTGGGGACTGAAGGGTCCCGGGTTCGATTCCGGTCAAGGGCATGTGCCTTGGTTGTGGGCATATCCCCAGTAGGGGGTGTGCAGGAGGCAGCTGATCAATGACTCTCTCTCATCGATGTTTCTAACTCTCTATCTCTCTTTCTCTCTGTACAAAATCAATAAAATATATTAAAAAACAAACAAAAAAAACCTGGAAGCAGTTGGCAAACTTTAAGTTTCTGGAAGAATGCTTTTCAAAGCCAGAGTCATTCTTCTAAAAACAACAACAACAACAAACACCGTACTTAATTGCCTGAGTTATAAAATGTTTTTGTGAAAATTCTGCGAAAGAATTTTAATTAATAAAAAAAGACCTTCTTTCTTTATTCTTAATGTACGGTGCATTAAAATGCATAAGACCAGGCAATAGGTAAAGCTTTGTTCTTGAACAAACCCCTGGATGCCTACTGATCTGACACTTTAAATTACCTTAGATTCAAGACTAGGAAGACTCTTCTTGCTTCAAAGCCCTTCGGTATCAGTCTCTTACTGACGTGTTTTGAGATAATATGATAACAAATGCAATAGGAACTAAGAAGGGGGGGGGGGTATTTCAAAAGCAATTTCTCTTTGTAAGGATCCTAATTTTTTAAAATAAAATATTGGTTAAGACAAATTACCAGGGCCTCATAAAACACTTGTTATTGGCCAAGAAAGTTACTCTCAAAAAAAATTTTTTTTTAATTTCAGAAAATCCTCTTCTGACCACATTTAAAATGTATTACTACCTTCTATACCCCCAATATATCAAGATTTTAATATAAATGTACTCATCCTGGCCATCTACTACTTGTTCTTCAGAAATCCTACAGGAAGTCCTACAGAAAATCCTACAGAATCCCCCTTCTGCGGGGCCATAGCTGTGGAGCCTCTGCCCTGTCAGCTGTAGTTAATGGCCTGTGGACTTACCAGACTGGCCTCATTAAATACCAGGACTAGTTAACCCTTGTAACCCCAGGAGGAGGTTGTTGCACAAATTAGTAGGTTCTCAAATAACGTTTGTGATAGATCCTCCCTTCCCCCAACTGGTGGGAGGAGTCTGATGAAACCTGCAAGTGCCTAACCAGGTACTGTACATGATTGAAGCACAAATCAGAACCTGCCAAATACCCCAAGCCCTTGTCCCCAAATACCTGAGTGCCTACCTTATAAGGGAAGGAGAGCTGGAATCCTTTGGCTCAGTGGTAGAGCGTTGGTCTGCGGACTGAAAGGTCCCGGGTTCGATTCCAGTCAAGGGCATGTACCTTGTCAAGGGCATGTACCTTGGTTGCGGGCACATCCCCAGTGGGGGATGTGCAAGAGGCAGCTGATCGATGATTCTCTCTCATGGATGTTTCTAACTCTCTTTCTCTTCCTCTCTGTAAAGAATCAATAAAATATATTTTTTAAAAATTAAAAAAATAAATAAAAGGGAGGGAGAGGTGGTCATGTAACCATAATGGGATGGACTCTTCTTTTTCTTGAAGGAAAATACTTTGAAAGTATCATTGTAGTGGTCTCACCTTAACTAAGGTAAGAACCCTTTATTACACCTGAAGGCCCGAAGAGAAAATATAAAAAGGAACTAAATACTCTACAATTTAAAATGATTGACTCCAAGGAGGGTGCGTTGTGGCAGGCAGCCCATTTCAAATCCCATTTAGTCATAAAATGCCCTTCATTATTATGGCTTCAGATTTACTGTCCCAGAGAATTAATGTTTCTTTGGGGCAATACATTTTCTAATATAACATGGATCAGGATTACATGATGGGATACGAAAGTACTGAGCTGAATTAAGTCACAGAGAAAAATGCTTATCTTTCCTTCCAATATTTAATTTATTTACTATTTAAGTTAGAAATACTGCAAGGAGATCTTATAAACAGATCGAATATATGCCAGTGTGAAAATCAAGACTTAATTCTATTTATAAATACTACTATATTAGGAAGAATTTATTGCTAAAGTTGCAAGTGATAGAAATCTACCTTGAAATAGATTAAGAAAATAAGAGGAATTATTAGAAGATAATGAATTAAAGAAAAAGCCACAGGAAACAGTCAATTTCAGGGACCTCAGGCTAAAAAAAAAAAAAAAAAAATAGAAGCTTGTTGCTATTAAGTTTCTCTCCCCTGCCCCCCACACTTCATTTCACATCTCTTAGTTTTCTATTTATCTTCATTCTCTGTTATCACAAGTTCCTCTCTACTCCTAGAGGGGAACTTCCTTTAAACTATACTAAAAAATAAAGAATAACACAGACCAGTGACTAACTGATAGAGATTTTAACACAGAGGATAAAGAAGGGTAGGGATGAGGGTAGGCTTACTTGGTCTTGAACCGGAAGTAGAGCACATCTTCCGAGACTGGGAAAAAGTAAAAAGGGGATACTTACAAATAATTTTGTAGAAAAGGATGTTTGGACAGTTAAAGTATTTCATACCTGCAAGCCCTAAAGCCACAAATGTGGCCTATGCTAAATAAAATGGCATTATTCCGATAACCCAAAGTAATGGGAATAGATCAGGATAACAAAGAGACTCTGTGTCCAAAGGGAAGGAGGGGCTAAACATAGCACAGTAGGTAACAGTGCCTTTTTAAAAATCCTCTTTATATCCTAATAAGCTGAGATTCTCCAGGGAACGTGTTTCTTTGTATTGCTATTCCTAGAAATATTTCTATTTAAATAAAGAACCATTCAGGGTGCCATCTCCTTGGTCAGTTTGGAGAAGCTCTTTGATTTTACTTCTAATCTATACATTTAATAATTATTATCATCTTATTACAGAAGGCTGGAGAAAAACCAAGCAACGCCCAGAGAAATGGAGTTACACTGTTTATTATGACAGTGGGCTCAGAGAAAGATTTCAAATTCTGAGCAAAGCAACAAGCAGGAGTTTTCTTTTTATTAAAGCTTAGTAGATTTCTCTCTGGAAGCGTGTGGCCTTGAGCACAATATAGTTCTATTCAGTTAAAAAAAATACATCTGGCATAAGAGTATGGGAGTATCAATCCCTAGCTTACAAGGTCAGACAGCTAAGTTTATCTTCCCTGTTATTCAAGCAAGCTAAAAAGCAAAGTTAATTTACAGAATAAGGGACCATCTAAAAATAGAAAAGTTGACTCACAGAACAAGGGACTATCTAAAAAGCAGAAATTTTCAAATAGCAGTTTTACAAAATAGAGGGTACAATGCTTTCAACAGCACAGTTATACAGTTTGGTTCTACTTCTCTAAGAAGGCTCTAAATGTTGGGAAAGTTTAACTTAAAGTGTTATAGTAAGGATTAGCCTTTCAGCCTTCTTAATCTGAATAGTTACTACCGTGTTTCCCAGGAAATAAGACATCCTCCGAAAATAAGACCTACTTACAGGTTTCCTTCTGAGTGAAATATAAGGCATCCCCCCAAAAATAAGCCCTCCCCCCCACCCCACCCCCAGGCTAAACATGAGAGATTTGGTCCACTGATTCTGAAAGAAATGGAATCACAAGAAATCCACCAGGAAATTCAGGAATTGGATTGTTATGATGATGTTCCAGAAGATGATGACATGATTGTCATTGAATAAATGAGTAAATTCTTGATATTGTAGGATTCACAGTTTGTCTGGTTTGTGTTGACAACTACCGTACTACCGTATACAGGTAATAAATTTCCTTTTTTATTTTCATTTAACAATAAATGTGTACTGTATTCTTCTTCATGGAAAAATAAGACATCCTCTGAAAATAAGACCTAGCGCATCTTTGGGAGCAAAAATTAATATAAGACACTGTCTTATTTTCGGGGAAACAGGGTATGTGCCAGTGACTGTGTTCTTGTCATTATTTATACTTTATTTTGCATATTTCATTTAGGTTACTATCTCCAATCTTCAAGAAAATATTTCTGGAGCCCCCTAATCTCATGAGCAGCATGTTTCTGAGACATTTTCATATTGCTTTCTAGGATTATTTTCACATTTTGATGTAATGTCAGTTTGCTTCCACTTCAGAAGTAAATGCATCTAATCTTACCTTCAAATATTTAGATTACCTCATAATTTGGATCCTAGAGTTCCCTATAGACTGATTTTAATATAATTCTTTAAACATCTTTTTTTAAATATATTTTTTTATTGATTTTTTACAGAGAGGAAGGGAGAGAGATAGAGAGCTAGAAACGTCGATGAGGGAGAAACATCGACCAGCCGCCTCTTGCACTCCCCCTACCGGGGATGTGCCCGCAACCCATGTACATGCCCTTGACCAGAATCAAACATGGGACCTTTCAGTCCGCAGACCGACGCTCTACCACTGAGCCAAATCGGTTTTGGCTCTTTAAACATCTTTTTAAATAGGAAAAATTAATTCGTGAATTCTATTTTCTAATTTGTAAAACTAAGGGGAAAGAAGTGAAATCCCAGACAAGAAAAGCTGAAGGATTTCATCACAACCAAACCAGTATTGCAAGAAATGTTAAAGGGACTTCTTTAAGAAGAAGAAAAATAATTTAAAAAATGAATAAGAAAATATCACACACATACATAAAAAAACAACAACAAAATCTTACTAATAAAGGGAAACACGTGATAAAAACAATACTTAAAAAAAAAAGAAAATAAGTGAATGAGTAAGTCTCTGTATCAAGGGCAAAGTTAAATATAAACTTTAGACTTTTCACTAGCCAAATAAATCATTATAAATTGTAATGTTGTAGCATACAGAGAAAGGGGGTTATCAGACCTCTAAAGTTCCTTTCATCTCTTAAGATTATGATTTTCCTTAAAGATCAGGGCCTCTAAAACAAAAACAAAAGGCTCTGTAAGTATGTTTGGGCTGTCCCTACCAGACTGAGCCTAGCACAAGTGGCTCAATGCTGGCAGTCTCCTGGCCATGCTGCGCAGCATCACCGGACTGTTTCAGAGTTAAATTTATCCTGAGACAGGCACTTCTAAAGTATCATAAAGAAACTCCTTATGAGCCTGGATAATATGAGTAAAACAGCATTCTGTTGAGATCCTTCCTGTGTGCCTAGTGTAGTTGGTGAATCAAAGTGTTGTCTACAATTATTGCCCTGCTTACATGTGTTTCCTTTTGTAAAATGAGGGTGACACCTCATCTTCTATCTTTCCTCTTCCATTCTACTTCCCAACTTCTATTAGCTTTTAACTTTAGCTGTAACTTTACTTCTACATTTTTAATATTATCTTTAACATCATTGTCTAACTTTTTAAACATTGTTAATTCTTTGCACTTTATTTTCTCAAAACCATAATACATACACATGACAAGAGGCCAGCTGTGTGAAGCTATACATAAAAAGATATGTCTCCCTTCCATCCCAGACTGACACTCCTCAGAGGTAAACAACTTCCATGAACCCTCTTGAAAATAGTCTGAGCATGTGTGGCAAGCTATTACATATATTTTATGTGTGTGTGTGTGTGTTAGAAAGGAGATGGAGACACACTGCTATGGTTTGAATATTTGTGTTCCACCCAAATTCATATATTAAAATCCTAACCCTCAAAGGTAATGGTATTTGTAGGTAGGCTTTTGGGAGGTACTTAGGACTTTCATGAATAGGATTAGTGCCTTCTAAGAGGCTCCAAGAGATACCTAGCCCAGGTGAAGTTATAGAAAAAGTCTGCAACCTGGAAGAGGGCTCTCACCCAACCAAGACCTTGGGCATCCAGCCTCCAGAACTGTGAACAATAAATTGCTGTTGCTAATAAGCTACCTCGTCTGTGATACTTTGTCATAGCAGCCTGTGCAAACTCACACACTCACACTCTCACACACACACACACACACACACACACACACAATTATAGATGAATACTGTATTAACTATTTGCACATCGATTTTACCCCTTAAAATATAAAGACTGTTCTATATTGGCATAAGTAGATATGCTTCAATCTTTTTCAAAGGTCACTCATAGCTTATTGTGTGGGAGTGTGTTGGTATTAAAGACTAAAAACTAATCGTAACAGTAATGTTTAAAAAAAGATGAAAAATATTTTGATACAGAATATTTTGTGAGCAGTTTGGTGTCACAAAATGAACTGATTGCACTGAAT